CCCCCCCACCCCGCATGTTTACAAACGGAGTGCGAGACGCCACATGTCCGACGTTTGCTTCCAAGGCAACGTCCACAAACAGGAAGAGACAAACACGCAGCTCGACTTATCGGCCTGAAAAGAGCCTCAGATTCAAACCAGTAATTATTCGGCTGTTTGCAGCTTCGGGTTCAGCATGCGACACGTGCGTGCACACAGACCCTCCCGTTCATCCCCGGCGGGGGGGGGGCTTATGAGCAATTCTCTGAGGACGATCGACAAGTCGGAGCTTCCTGATGAGCGTTTGGGTTTTAAAATCAACAAATAAATAAAATAAAAGAGCTGCAAACAGGACGAAAGGCTGAGCTGGTCTGCAGGGGCACGAGTTTAACGTGACCTCGATACCCCCCCCACTTTCAGAACACGCCACCAAAAAGGCAACATCAGGGCCCCCGATGTTCCTGCCGTGGAAAAAAAAACCGGAGGAAACTGCAAACAAACAGAAATCAGATGGGTTTTTGTGCGTTAGTCTGACTTATGGCAGACTAAATAAATTGCAGATCTCCGTGTTTAAGCGTCGCTGCAATGCAGACGTTATTTTTCATTCCTTTCATAAATTATGTCAGCAGTCACTTAAGCGCACGGAGAGCTGCTGCACTGCGTCGGCTGCTGAGGCCAGGCGAGGCGGGCTCCCAGGTTCTGACGGTGGCGCCGAGCCAGCCGTAAAAAAGGCCGAGCAAACAAACAAAAAACAGTCGGCGTTAAGAGCCTCTCAGTTCCAGGAGCAAACCTGCTGACTCACAAACGTCTGCTGTAAAGGTGCAGACAGACGCTTTGATGACGATGCAAAAAAAAAAAAAAAAAGGGGGGGGGGCATTAATCAAAAGTCTGGGAAAAAAAAGAGTTTATTAATCGAGACTTTGCCACTCAGATCTGTGAACGCTGATCAAGCATTTTTTATTCTTCTGCATGTTTTTCGGCACGTCTACCGTTCTGCAGTTTTTGTTCTGTTTCAACAGTTTATAAATCAAAACGTTCGGCTCCTTCAGGACATTCAGACTATCACCTCTGGGATTTCAGCAATTTATACTTTTTGAGATTTTTAGCCTTTTCTCATTGAAAATGGACAGAGCAGTCTAACATCCTTAAAACATTTCAAAATGTTCGTAAAACTTTACTGAACTTTTCATTCTTTGTTCTGYTTTTTCAAACATCTTTGTGCTAACTTCAGCTTTTCTTGGCGTCTATTTAGCTGGTTTTAGCTTTTTCCTGATTTTAAGCTATCATTCTGACCTTCTCTGCTATTTAATTTTGCCAATTTTAACATTTTTATTCTCTCAGCTGCTTTCTGCTAATTTCAGCTGTTTTGTGTTTCTAGCTACATTTTAGCTACATTTAGGTTTTTCCAGTTGAAGTTACTTTTTGTGATAATTTTAGCTTTCTACTGCTATTTTAGCTATCATTCTGACCTTTTTGTGCATCTTTCTGCTAATTTCAGCTGTTTTCTCTGTTTTTAGCTACTTCTTAGCCGGTGTGAGTTTTTTCAGCTAAATTGACCGTTTTGTGATAATTTCAGGTTTTWTAATAAATTCAGCAAACACATGCTCTTTATGTTTCTTTGTGTTTATTTCAGTTCTTACAGCCATTTTTAGATATTTTCTGCAAATTTCAGCAGTTTTAGCTATTTTACTCTCCTTTCATCATCTGTTTGCTCATTTCAACAGGTGAAATTATGACCACTGTTAATTTTGAGGTCACAAAWTAAAAGGACAASATTACAAACTCGACATGTTTCAGCTTGTTTTACCTTCTGTCTAAATTTCAGCTATATTCATTTTTTATAGTTTTTGTTTTGTAAATTCTTTTACTTTGAGTTTCCTTTATGTTTTACTTCTTGAAAATACTTTCTAGTAGTTTTTTTTTTTGCTTTCTAAACTACTTTTTGCGAATAATTATGAATTTTTGCTAGTTTTTTGCTACATTTCTGCTCTGTTCAGCTTTCTTGACACATGTTTTGCTATTTTTCTACTAATTTTTCACTTTTGTTTTTGTACTTTCAGCAAAAGTCAGCTGTAAGTTTTACTCTTATTAACAGTTTTGCTTTTAAACATTTTCAGCTCCTTCTGCAGCTTGCCGGAAAATATTTTTCAGCATTAAGCATTCAMGCTGCATTTACACAGGAAATGCTAATTAGAATTAATTATAAAGTGAGGTTCAT